GTCTCCAATTTATTTTTAAAAATCTATTTGAAAAGACAGTTACGTTATCAATAAGGGTGTCTGTCATATTGACGAGCAATTCAGGACAGGTTTTTTAAAAGCCAAAAATGGGGGTGCACAGCTACAAAGAAAAGAAATGATGGGAATATAGACATTTTCAAAATTGAAGAAGTAAATAATACAATGACAAATAATGAAAAACAGCAACAACATCAACAGTAACAATATCATCATTATCATCATCAACAACAAAAACAGCAACAACAACAGCTACAGCGACAACAACAAGACAAGATGCCAATCATGTACACACTTTTTTGTGTTTGCCACTTTGTTTTCGTTGTCTTTATTTTTGCTGTTTTTTGAATGACTGATTCTCTTCCCTCCCCCCCCCTCTCTCTCTCTCTCTCTCTCTCTCTCTCTCTCTCGCTCTCTCTCTTCGTCTCCCCCCTCTCTCCCTCCCTCTCTCTCTCTCTCTCTTTCTCTCTCTCTCTCTCTCTCTCTCTCTCTCTCTCTCTCTCTCTCTCTCTCATTCTTTGCTCAGCATCCCTTCCTTTCTTTCTCTAATTTTTCTTTCTTGGTACCTTTGTTTCTTTCCTTCTTTATTGTCGGCCAGTATCATTTTCTTTGACATACCTGCACCCACTGGCACTTTCAGCAGAAATTCGCAACCCCCCAGGAACACATTTGGGTTTGATTTTCTTTTCATGTTGTTCTGTTGGCTCTACCTCCAAATTACGTTGATTCCGCTTAGTACTAAAACCCTTACTCTGGTGCTTTTTTTTTACAAGGAATGAAAATAAAATCCGAGTTCGTGGGAGTGTCATTCATTCATTCATTCATTCATTCATTCATTCATTCATTCATTCATTCATTCATTCTTTCTGGGTGGTTGGCGGGTGCTCTGGTGTGGTTTGCTCCTTCTTTCCTATCGAACATATAATCCTTATCTCCCCGTCTTCTTTTTTATGTTTGTTACTCTCTTGTAACACCTCTAATTTTCTGGCGCTCATATGACCTTATGCAGTTGCGAGCGCCGTGAAACCTCTACTAAAACTAAATTCTTTCATTCTGTTCTCTTTAATTTATTCATTTTCTTTTTCTTTTTGTTCCTTTGCTTTTCAAAAAAAAAAATTCCTTCGCACATTCATCTACTTTTTTGGGTATGTGAAGGGGGATAGAGGTGGTTGGAGAAGGAGGAATGTCATTCGAGTACTTCTTTTTTTTTTATCCGTGACGTTTATTTTGATTCTTCCAGATTGATCATTTCGATAACGTGTAGTTTCTGTGATCAGCTGACCAACAAGTACACTCATAGTTTTGACAATCACTTTCTGATTCTCGATAACAACTCTGTCTATTCTGCAAGAAAAATATCAGTTAAGAAAAGTCTACTTTCTGTTTTAAAAAACCACAAAAACAATAGCAGTAGGACAGATACTGTAGCGTCAATTGGTGCGGCTGGAAGTGCTGTCGATATTCTGAAGTAAGCAGTCGTCAGACTCAAATGAATTACGTCCAGATGTCGCAGACTATGTCCTTCTAAAAATAAAGAAGTTTAAAATATTTTTATTTGTTTTAATTTTAAAATTTTAGTATTATAGTACGTACGGTCAAGGATTCGTGGCGTACCTTATCCTCAAATATCTTTTCAACGGATGAATCAGTGTCACCCATACTTTGGGCATCGGTTTTTATCAATTTGTCTTACCTTCATCTTATTTTTCCACAACAATTGAGGCAAGAATAAAAATAAAAACTTTTCCTCATAAATATGTTTTTTAAAAATCTTTTAAAATATTTAACAAATCTTCGTCGCGTGGAAAATGGAAGTATTCACAGCACTTTCCGCTTCTCACACATACTATTTTTGTTTACGTATGAGGCGTACGTCACTGCTCACTATAACGACATTTTGTTGTGGTAAAATTTTAGCCTACGCATAATTACGATCCCCTGATAAATGACAGGAGAAATTGTTAAGAATTTCTGCTCATATTTTATAACTAGTCTGATGAAAAGCAGCAGGATGGTGAGGAGGAATCGCAGTTGGATACTGCGACTGGAAGTTGCCTTGGTTTGATGCCGTAATTCTTGGCTTTATTTGATACCAATGTGAATGTGCAATTCTTCAAACAATCTTAATAGATTATCACAAACGACTTTCAATATATCAGTACATAACTCACGAGTAAAAGGAGTGAAGAATAATGCAATCCTCTCCTATTCAGTAGTAATGTGCTGGTGCCAATATGTTTTGGTTTGAACAATAATAAAATGTAATCATCCATGGCCGCAGAAACGGAGTAAAAAGTAAGTTTTGTTCCGCACCACTGATTAAACTAAAGATTATTAAAACAGGATTTCCATGATCATAGTTTGGCAATTAGAAGAAGTGAGGCAATGCTTTTAAAGGTGCTATTGTCCCAGCTCATAGGATGTAAGACTTTTAAAAATCTGTAGATTCCATCGATTGGGATTTTATATTAGTATTTTATATTCCGTGATTTTCTAGAATGCAGCACACGACATGTGGTTTAAAAAAAATATTCATCTGTTAAAGACAAATTGATGTAAGTCATTTGCAAAGGCTGAGGAGTCTATGTTCTATAGTTTTGGAAATTTTTTATTAAAAGTTGGCGCCACGATTTTTGACCGCACTATAAAATAAACTCCATTTATTGTCCTTTCAAGTAATCGTTGTTATGTTCTAACAATGATAGTAAATAACAAGATGGGCCACTCAGCCAAAAAAGTGTCCGCAGGAAGTATGCTCTTTGCTTCAGATGGCGCTGCCGTCTGTTTTGAAGCTCTCTTTCGTTTTTCCAGAAGAAGAATAGGAATAGCACCTCCTTGCGTGCGCAGATCGACTGCTGTTCATCAGCAGTTCGGGTTCGTTCAGTACGGAGTTTTAGTTTTTTTTAAATTTTAATGACCTCTCGCTTTTCATTATAAAGTCAAATTAAACGAAGAAAACAATCACCCTTTCCTCAGCGTAACCATTAAAAAAAAGCGTTCTTCCGAAATTTATTCAAAAACTTGCTAGTTTCACTTTGATTTTTTAAACTGAAGTAGGATAACTCTGTTCGCTAAAGGTGCGCTTTTGCGAAGAGGGCGCCACCGAATTTTCAGGACACTTTTTTAATTGGCTCAAAGAGAGAAGTGGCCCCTCTTGTTATGTAGACTCTTTGGTTCTAATCGTGACACTCTGCTTATTGAACGCATGTTTTGAGAACTTTCAGTGCAGAAAAGGTGTTCACTTCAAGATTTTTTAAAAACAAGTTTTGCCAATAAAGGGTATCATTGGTTAGCAGTAACGTAGGCTTTATGTGTATACAAAATGTGTGTGAGAAGCAGGAAAATTTCCACTTTCCGCATGACGGAGGTTTGAGGTATTTTATATAAATTTTTGAAAACAATTCTTTAATCTAGCCTAAATTGTTGTGGAAAAATATTAATCAAGATTAGACGAATTGATACAAATTGCTGTGCAAAGCATGGGGGACATTGATTCACTCGTAAAAAAAGATATTTGAGGAAAGGTGGCGCCACGAATTTTTGACCGCACTATAAAATAATGTCATTAATAGTGTCAATGACGACATAAAGCGCTGACTTGTGTCTGCGGTAAGTGTGTATAGGGACGAGATCACATGATCGACCCCTCAGCCTCTTTGTTGATGTACCCTCCAGCTGTTACGTGTGGGGAGAGCCCCGGCTGTTTGCTAAAGACAGTTTGAGACACCGCCACCCGCCCATGAGTCATTCTAGTACATATACTTGGTCATATCTATTATACGCCTTCAACTGTGTAGGATTTTTGTTTGTTTTGTTTTGTTTAGTTTTCAAGTAATGGCCATTTAGAGTGTATGTCAAAAGGATTTATTTGGCTGGTTCTGTAGTGTGGCGTGTGCTGTAAAAAGAAGAAGAAGAAGAAGAAGAAGAAGAAGAAGAAGAAGAAGAAGAAGAAGAAGAGGAAGAAGAGGAAGAAGAAGAGGAAGAAGAAGAGGAAGATTATTCATGAGGATAGCCACGAATATGAAAGGCAAAAGTTGTTCCGCATCCGATCCAGACATTAGGGATTGTCTTGTTAGTGAGACGACTTCCTGGGCCTTCGGCATATTGTGGTAGGATGGCCATTTCCTTTTCACGCTGCCTTTACTTCCCCAACTCGAAGTCAGGTACCCGTTACTGTTGGGTAGGAGGGAAAAAAATCCGTGTCCGAACCGAGGCTCAAACCCGGACATTCCGCCTCGGAGACGAGCGCACTAACCGCACCTTCATAATGAAAGGTAATGGTAATAAAAATTGCCTTGGCTCCTTAAACTCTTGCTGGTCTGATATGCACGGGTCAGAATTAATCTCCATTGATTCTTTTCGTCTTATATATTGACTGCATTTCAAAAGTCCCAGATCGCTAAACGCCTAACGTTCGTAAAATAAAAGCTACATTTTCTTTTTCTTTTAAATCACACATCATCGTATTCTCAGTTTTATTTTTCTGCATAGTCTGATTATGTTATGTCCTTCATTCACGCACAGTTGTGATAGAAATCCCCCCCCCCCCCAACCCGGTAGTTTTGAAATTTTCTATAACAAAGTTACGAGTGTCTGTCTGTACTTTCGACACATTCATCTATAAACAGTCCTGATACTCGGGGTGCGTTTTCATGACTAAAGTTGTGTGGATAGTTCTGTTAAAGCCCCGTGACTCTGCGGGTGGTTGGGAGGCGCCACTGGCAGTTTCCACTTCTTTACTTTCCCTCTGTTGTTTCTATTTGTCTGTCTGACTTTTTCCTTAGCACCAGTAGACCATTATTGTGTCGATGTGTTTCTCTTTACTCAACGAAGAAACAAAACAAACAAACAGCTCTCTAATTCTAACCAGGGCAAGGCTATCTGAGTTTCAAATACTCATATAGCCTAGAACCAGGGCAATGCGTCCAGTATTATCTTATTCATTTATGCTAATGATTCTGTCTTCTCGCCTTTCCCCTCAGTTACGGCATGGCAATGGGTGGTATGGGCATGTACCACGACCAGTACGGAGCCATGGCCCGCCCCTCCCCCTACGGCCCATACGGTGGTCACCACCCGCACCACCACCCGGCCAAAGAGATGGTCAAGCCGCCCTACTCGTACATCGCCCTCATCACCATGGCGATCCGGGGAGCCCCGGAGAAGAAGATTACACTGAACGGCATCTACCAGTTCATCATGGAGCATTTCCCCTTCTACCGAGAAAACAAGTAAGTGCAACACGGCTGGTGTGTCTTTCTGCTTGACGAAATGTGACCGTTACCATTACGTGCTCTCCAGCTCTACATCTTTGTGGAATGAGTTTGACGCCCCCGTCACGACACTGCGAGATAGGACTGAGATAGGAGGGGTGGAGACTCGTGGAATCTCCAAACAACGGAGCGCCAATCTAGACAACAACCATTATATTATTGCTCTTAAATCATTTTATA